GCTCTTTCTAATCATTATTCTGCCAAATCACACTATGGAACTTGTTCCAACAGGAGGCAGTGATGGCCAACAATTTGGATGGGTTTAAAAGATGGTCAGACACATTCAGGGAAGAAAGGGCTACTGATGGCTGTGCTCTGCTGCCACAGCCGGAGGCAGCAATGATTCTGAATACCAGTTGCTGGAAACCACAGGAGGGGAGAGTGCTAGGATCCTGCTTGCTGGCTTCCCACAGGCATCTGGTTGGTCATTGTAAGAACAGGATGCTGGACTATGGGCTACTGGACTGATCCAACAGGCTCTTCTCATGTTCTTAGGAGTAAGGTCATTAAGGGTCCAGCAACCTCTGCAAAAGGTGGATTTGTGAGGGTTCGCCAATAGTGAGAATTCAAGCTATCCAGCAGCTTGTAAGGGAGGAACCTACCTGAGGAGCCTGTGTCTCCCCAGAGATTTTGTTTCACGCCCCTCTCAGTATCCTATTTGTCAAAGGGGGCCTGCCGCACAGTTTAAGAACCGCGGTCACATCTTTTTAAGAACCGTACCACCACATTACTGCATTCCTTGCCAACTAGCCCTATAATTCACCAGCAAAACACAGTCTGGTGGCTATTGTACTAGCTTCCTGGGATGTGTGGAATGTTCCAGTTTTAATTAGCCCACCGCACCGTGAGACTTTTTAATGAGCATTTTAATCAAACCTGCTTCTGATTAAACATGGATTATTTAGAGCTTACTATTTTATACTTCACCTCTGTGCTGCCTGCCCTCCTACTCCTCCCTGCAGAAAAGCACACTCGTAAGCATCTTACGAGCATAATTCTGTCTCATCTTTAATGATAAGGATATCATAATAAAAATCTTTGGGTTTATTCTATCACAGGCACCTACCCTGAGGAAGGCATCCAAAGAACCATTCTCCATGTACTCAGTTATGATCATGACTGGTTTGCCTAGAAATTTGGGAGGGAAAAAACACAATTCATAGATGCAGACAATTAGGAGAGGAAGACAGCTTTAAAAATAAAAAATAAAAAATCATAATAACGTAACTCCAAAGTTCCAAGCTTCTTTCTCAGCTCGAGTGAACCAGAAAAGAACTAATGCAAGGCTGACGTGTTCAAGAATTCCAGCCAGAAAATTAACACTTTAGCTGACTCATTGACAAGGTCTTTAACTACGGTACACACCACGGTCTCCAGAGAATTTAAGAATCCATAATTGCTCTCTAAAGAAGAAATGGTGATGCAGTAATAGACCCAAATAGGCCTATTTGCACTTGGAGTAATGTAAAGATAATTGCATCGTTTGCTAGGGAATTTGTATGTCCGTAGGCATTTGGCTGAGAGAAATCAAAGTTATGGTTTGAAGGATGTGGACTGTCAGCTGTAAGCGCAGATTCAGGTGTGGCATAAACAGTAATTTCCCTTCTATTTACTTAATCCGTAGCATTTATTTTGCCATGTAAAAACATGCTTTACCCATTTCTTCCGTACTGACGGAGGCAGGGTCAAATTAGTCAATGAACTATGTTGCAGACAACATACACTTTAACAAAAATGGAGAACTGTAAATTAACGCTGGGTTGCACACAATGATGCTATTCTAGAGTGATCCTATCATGGGATGAGGAAGAGATTCTGTGATGGAGTAACCATTACATCCTGCCAGCTTGCTGACGTGAGGGCGGGTGATAGGAGCAGAGTTTTATCATGTTGCTTCTCATTGACTTCAAAGGGAGAGAAAACTACATCAGCTGAAGGGCTGGCATAGTACTGGGAAATTTGGGGGGCTATGTCAGGGGAAAGGGGGGCTTTGAATTCGCTAGACCCATCGCTGCCCCAGAATGCCCCACTTTGTCCCCACCACCGGCAGGGTATAGATGGTGGCACATCTACAGTGAACTTTTCTTGGGCATGTCAATAAGTTACTGGTGGTGCAGGTATCATCCTGCCTGTAGACCTTTCTTTCCACTGTTGGAGCAGTAGTTATGCCTCTTTCCCAGATACCCTGCTGCCTAAATCCATGATGATGAAATATAATCTATTAATATGTTTAATAACAGCAGCTATTGGCATGACATCACTTTATCCTTAAAACACATTGCAGACATAATGGGTTGGTTTGCACATAACCCTAAACCATGGTTTAGTGCTACATGCATGAGCTAGAATGAACTCAAGTGAAGTCTTGGACTTATACACTCTCCCTCATTTTCCTGCGCAGTGAGGATAAGGACTTCATTAGCATGTGCTTTCAGTGTCCAAGAATCCTGGCTACTTGTTACAAACAAAATAGAGATGATAGTTTAAAACAAACTTAGGCTGGTTTAATAAGCCAGCTTTATGATTCACGGTTGAATCTGACTTATTTAAAAACTGGCTAGGGTTTGTTTTAAACCACAGTGGTATGAAACAGCCCGCCAGGATTCCTTGAAATAAAAAACATATGCCAGCAAAGTCCTTCTTCTGGAAAGAGAAGCGGGAAGGAGGAGCTGTTAGCCCAAGGCCTAGCTGAGGCCCATTCCATAGTTTAGTGTTACATTACTTATAAACTAACCCATTTCACGTCACTAACTGTCCTCAAAGGGAATTGCTTCTTTCAAGTTCGAATGTGTGAGGATTCCTAATGATTGCCTAAGATCCACAATTCTCAAAGACTAAGATAGGGCTTGTTAGCCAGGCACAGGAACTCATGGGAGACAGTAGCTAATTTTTCTAAACCTCTTCCAGTGTAAATTTTGTTTTATAACATGCCATGAATGGATCAGGAGGTGAGGCTTTCACGTATACTCTTATTTGGGTAAACAGAATGTGTTTGTGTGTGGAAAGATCTGGAGTAAAAGAAAACATATTTTAACAGAACAACAAAAAAAATCAATCTGCTCAAACGTTTGCTTAGGAAAATTGCGGGTCTGTGAAATATTTTCACACGGAATAGCTCCTATAATTGTATCTACATTAGCACATTTTTCACTCAGCAGGTTACCTCCACTTGCAATTCTACTAGGAGCTCCTATTTCAGAAATAACTTTTTCTGATTAGAAAACAGTATGCTAAGGCATATTAATAGCCTGTACCTCTTTCACTTTTCCATTTTTATTTAGGGACAGCTGGCCTGAGGCCAGCCTCTCCACAGAACCTGTATGTTCATGATTCCCTTGCTACTTCAGCTAGTGCCAAAACATTCATGTCCCTCATCTTATTCCACGTTTACATATGCAAGCCAGTCTTTACGTTAAAGTGAAATGGAAATCAGGCATCTGCAGCCCTAACTATCTTATTTGCATGAGTCAAAGTTGTTTTTCCCCCCTGTGCACATGCACAAAAATCCAGGGCAGCTGTATCAATATGAGCTTAGAAATTCTGGCCGGGAATACAAATACTTAAAGGCAAAGGCTGAGGAAAACCACCCTCCTGATATATGAACATTCACCCCTCCCAATATTCATCAGTGAGTAAGGAACCCACTTAGATCCAATCTGCATATTTCCCCATGTCATTTACACTTTGCTACTGTGACTTAGAGTCACTTGACAGAACAAATACATCTAAATAGGTTTTAATTAACCTTCTGCAATCAAAAGGTACTTTGTCAATTTAAAGAAATAAGAGACACTTCATTTGAATATATTAATGCACAACTCCATTAGTTATTGAACCTTGGCAATGCAGTGTTGAAGGGGTGACAAAGAGGTCTAGATGGAGTCAAAGCACTGTCTTATCCCTCTTGGACTGTGATTTTGCAGCCAGCATATGCTAGACCCTGTGTGGAACTGAGTAATTGGAGGGATCCACTGTTTGATGGAATTTGATTGCACACTTTGGAAAGCACTAAAGAACTTTCTTATTTAAAGTATGATGTATTAGATTCAGTGGCGGACCTGTTTGATTTCGGCACCATCGTCTTGTGACTGCAAAAGTAACCATACAATATGAACAAATGTAGCCATAGACTTTTCTCCTGGGAGTTTAATTGGGGTAGCTTGTCATCATGAAGTTGATTATTAATAGCACTTGACTTGCCACTAATAGTGCATTCATACTAGTCTCTTTCCTCATCTCTCTCTCTCACACACACAAACACGCACCTACACATCTGCCCCAACAATCGATCTTGTGTTGCAATTTCAGAAACTTTAAATGCACCCATTTTTCACCAAGGCTCCGTAAACATACAGGGGAAAATTGAGATAAATGTCTACTTAAGAAACTCTGTTTGCCAAATGGTGATGGCTTGGAGGTGTCTACGATGGTTTGTAGCAAAAGCATGAACTACAGGGAGCCTGGCAATAGAAGACACTTGGTTTGGTCTCCCACCTTCTGCTGGCAATTTAAAATCATTTTAATGCAGTGACAAGTACATTATGCAAATAGTATGCACTCATTTATAACTGTTACAGCTGTACCAGCTTTGGGGGGGGGGGGCGTTAAAAGCCTCAGTGGGATTTCAATACAAAGATTCCCTTGTTGATTCTCTGTTTTACCAAGGTGGTATGAAAATCAATGTCTGTAGCAAACACATGGTGGCCTAAAAAGAAACCTCTTTTTGAAGGAAATATACCTGTAACATGTATGCTTTTAAGCACATTTTGATAGATGTAGTATAGTGCTCTACTTAATATCCAAATAAAATAGCCAGTTAACCAACCAAACCAAACCAACCAAACAAACAAAACAAACACACAATTCCAAGTATGTGTGTTTCCAGCAATTACAGAAACAAGCCCTGGTCACAACTTGTAGAATATAGTTAAAAAAACCCTATCCTATCAATTCATTACCATGATTTTAACCAATTAATTATCAGGCATTAACCATTTAATCAATTTCTGAAATGTATATATTTGTACAAATTAAAGCATCTCATTTAAAGGGCTTAGGTTCCTCAGTGAAGTTGAAGATCCAGTTTTTAAAAGCAGAGTCACAACTCCTTGGCCCATTCATCCAGGCTATAGTGGTTGAAGTAGCTAAATGGGCTATGCTGCCTTTATTTGCACATGTGAATAGCTCAGCTGGATAGAGTGTGGTGTTGCTGATAACACCAAGGTTGCAGGTTTGATTCCCGTATGGGACAGCTGCATATTCCTGCATTGCTGGGGACTGAACTAGATGATCTTTAGGGTCTCTTCCAACTCTAAAAATCTATGGTTCCATGGTTTCCAAGAAAATTTGATGAAATTTCTGTCAACAACTCCCTCCACTGATGGCCTGCCGTGTCCCCAAACCACATGATTCCTCTCACCCCCTCAGCATTGGATTTTGGGACGGCAGCAAGGAGGGACTGGGAAAACATTTCATGGGCAGAACACTGTTCACAATTCTTTGAATCCAACCCACTGTGCTGGAATGAACTCAGTGCCTTCCAGATAATGCATTACTTTCTCAGTGAGGAAAGGGAGGTTCACACATCCCAGACTCATACAAGGATTTCCTTAGAAAGGAAAAAAAAAACTTAGGAAACAATGAAAACCCATTGCTATTAGTTCCATGCTGCAGGCAGTTCACTGGCACTTTGAGACTGGTATGTTTAATTTGTGATTCCTGAGGCAACACAAGCTGACAGAGCTAAGGTGTTTGTTCTTCTGCAGTAATTTTTGAGCATACCAAATTCTCAATACTGGCAGAATCAAGGGAGGCGCTGTCATGGACTGGCTGGAGGCAGAGGAGTGATGGGAAGAACAAGCTGGCCTCCAAGGGAAGAAGGTTCAGATCCAGGGGATTGGTGGTGGGATGACCACAAGTGGTCAGAGGGAAAAGAGGGAGTGGACTGGGGGGGGAGGCATTGGAAGCTGAAGAGGTAACAGTGTTTAGTGAGCAGAAAGAGATGGTGGCAAGAGATAGCCCAGAAGCAGAGGCTAGAGAGGAGAGGGGGCAAGAAGCAGAGATGAAGCAGGCTGCAGAAGAATCCAGGGAGTCTCCTTCTCCTGCTGCGAGAAGCTTCCTTCCATGCCTGGTCTCCCAGAACATGCAGGAAAATGAAGGGGGTGGATAAATGAGAGACAAGAAGATGAAGCCTTAGGCTGCTAAGGAAGGAACAGGGGAGGAACCTTAGAGAGCAGTGGGAAGGCGGGGACTACTCCCACTTGGACTACTGCAATGCGCTCTACGTGGGGCTACCTTTGAAGGTGACCCAGAAACTACAACTAATCCAGAACGCGGCAGCCAGACTGGTGACTGGGAGCGGCCGCCAAGACCATATAAAACCGGTCTTGAAAAACCTACATTGGCTCCCAGTACGTTTCCGAGCACAATTCAAAGTGTTGGTGCTGACCTTTAAAGCCCTAAAAGGCCTCGGTCCAGTATATCTGAAGGAGCATCTCCACCCCCATCGTTCTACCCGGACACTGAGGTCCAGCACCGAGGGCCTTCTGGTGGTTCCCTCACTGTGAGAAACCAAGTTATAGGTAACCAGGCAGAGTTCTCAGTAGCGGCGCCCTCCCTGTGGAACGCCCTCCCACCAGATATCTAAGAGAACAACTACCAGACTTTTAGAAGGCATCTGAAGGCAGCCCTGTTTAGGGAAGCTTTTAATGTTTGATGTATTACAGTATTTTAATATTTTTTTGGAAGCCGCCCAGAGTGGCTGGGGAAGCCCAGCCAGATGGGCGGAGTATAAATAATAAATTGTTGTTGTTGTTGTTGTTGTTGTTGTTGTTGTTGTTGTTATCATTCAGTTCTCGCGACTGCCTCATTGGGGCATGACCTACTGGGAAGAGTTGCTGGGATCACTAGGCCTGCATTGTTCTGGTTTCTTTGAATAAAGAGTTAACTTCGCTAACCCCGGGTATTTTACTGCTAACCTACTCCTGTGTTCGGCTCCTGAAAGGTGCGCTGCTTGCTCACAGTACCAATAGCACAGAGCTACATTTTCACAAAGCCCAGATATAGCTGGGATACGCTACAAGTTTTGTGTGTGTGTGAGTTCCTAAATATTTTGCTCAAGCAAAGACAGTTAAAAACAACAGTAAACGGACAAAAGTCCTGCCCTACAACCAGCGACTGCAGTCCTAACAAAAGTAGGACCTGAAATATAAACAGATACTTTCTTTTTAAAAAAAGAAAAGAATACTGGCCATGTTTTGAAGCTATATTCAGTGATCTATCTGGATCAGAGCCACCTCAAACAATGAGGGCCTCTCCAGCATACTTTTACTTGGGTCTACAAGCTTCACAGGTGCATTCCAGTTCTGGCTTGAAAATCACGACTGTAGGGTTTTGCTCTCTTCTGGCTTAGACTGGTGTTCATTGGTACAGTGACTGCTAATCATCTTTAAAAGGGAGAGACGTGAGGAGGGGAATATATTCTTGACCAGGTGTTGCTTGAAATAGAAGCAACAGCACCAAAGACGAAAATCAGAAAGAGCACACAAACATGCCTCTTGCTAAGGACAGGGTTATTTTCTTTTGAAAGGCCTGCTCCCTACATCTGTGCCTAAAGACTTAAAGCATAAAAGCTCGCAGGTTTATTGTGCTTGGTCTCTTATGAAATATTTTAGGTGCATTGATTACCATCTGCTTTCCCTTCATCCGACTGAAAGTCACTGCAATCCTAAAAAAAAGAGACGACTTTCAGAAGTACCCACCTGGCATACCAATAAAAAGAGGTGCGAAAAAAACTCACTTCAAACCAAAGCATCCTTCCATCACATTCCTCCTTACCCCTTAAAACTGTGTAGTATTACATTTCCTTGTAAAACTATGCACAACTTGCTCAAAGATAGGGTATCGGCTGCAACCATAAAACCATTTATAGCTGACAACAAGATTAATGACAAGTGCTACACTGATTTCCTCCTATTAGCTATCGGTGGATCTGTTCCATCTGTCATTTCAAAGCAGGAATGGCAAAAGCTCTATGCTGATTTAATTTCATCGTGACTTCCAAACTCTCCTGGTCAAAGACATGATCACACATTTGGCAACAGGTTGTGGCCTACTTACATTTCGTAACCACCCCTTCCAAGTGGATGATGTTGGGGTGGTCAAATTGTCCCATGATACTGGCCTCACTCAAGAAGTCCCTTCTTTGTTTGTCTGTGTATCCAGCTTTCAGTGTCTTGATAGCAACACAGATCTCCCTCTTTCCCGGCACCTTCAAACGGCCACTGCAAACTTCACCAAATTCACCTGCAGAGAAGGGAGACCCAAAGGACAACCATGAAAAGACCTGATGGCAACTAAGTCACTGTGTGATTTTAACTCCATGATGTTTTAATTGATGCCATAGAGATTCTAGAATATTCTGTGAATGATTGCTAAACTTCAGTTTTGGTTATTCGTATGTGTAATACACTTTCCAATCTCCTTTGGGATTTTCTTTTTGCTTGGCTTACTTATTTTAGTCTTTTTGTGAGGGGGAATACAATGTGACTATGATGAACAACAGCAAAACAGTTGTTTTATTCAACTAAATTCATTCACTAAAGAATGTTTACCTTGCTGAGAAGGTAAACAACTTTACTCAAACGTCTTTGTAAGCTATCTTGAAGACTGAAAATGTAGAATGGTGGGATAGAAAACTGCCAAATAAAGAATGAAATAAAACAATTTCCAGGAAATTAAAACCACAGTAAACCTTCCATCATTATGAATCTATTACAGTGGTACTTCTGGAGGTGAACGGGGCTCTGGAACAGGTCCCGTTCGCATCCTGAAGAAAATGCAACCTGCATCTGCGATTGTCGTGATTCGCTGCGTCTGCTCATGCGCATGACGTCATTTTGAGCATCTGCACATGCGCAAGCGGCGAAACCCGGAAGTAACGCGTTCCATTACTTCTGGGTTGCCGTGAAGCGCAACCCGAAAACACGAAAACCGAAGCTACTTTAACCCGAGGTAGGACTGTAGTGTCTAACATGATCATGACTTGAGCTTACCGACACCAATGACTTTTTCAATCTTTATGCAGGAAGCATCAATTTCTTTGGCAAATTCTCGCACAGCTTGGTTGGGGTCCTCATATGTAAAGGGATCAACATACGTTCTAACACCTGCAACACAAAGATGCCTTGTCTAGTTATGTAATCCATGTACGAATTAAGGATCATTAGTATATATCCTCAGTGGGCAGTCAAAAGGCTGGGTGACAAAAGAAATACACACCCACAAAAATTCAGTCATGTGCTTTAATATGCAGAGATGCTTTTACACATTAACAACATACTCTTAGGTAAGTGGGTTTTGGATTGGATTGTAAATTGTGTGAATAGCAACACAGCAATGGTAAACCAGCAAGCAACTGGGTTTTTGAGCAAGTATATTTTGAGCAGCAACACAGCTTTTTGGTGACAGCATGAAAAACAAATGAGCAGCATATTGGTAGAGATACATAGCTGTTCATGCCCCATATCTATATGCGAACCAGAACTTTTTAATCTGTTTCAGTTCCCCGCATGAACCTCAAACTGTAACTTCAATTGACAGCACAATCCTAAACACATCTACTCAGGAATAAGTCCCATTGAGATCAAGCCCACTCCAGTCTCCAAATAAATCCTGCAACGCTATAAAAAAGCAAGTAATGTGAAAGTATGACATCATGTCTCCCAACCCACTGAATATTCCTCAAGTAAAGAGGCTCTTTTCTGCTCGTTAGGTATGTTTAGGCACTACGTTGATCACATACAATTAAGCGCTGCTTTTACAAGGGGCTGCTTGTGTGAGATGCGAGTCTACCCTTTGGAAAAGGCTACCAACTACGAAGCCACATAACCAATGCAGCTTGTGACAAATTCTCAGCTTTGGAGAAAGCAAGCTGCAAAGTCACATCTAAGGAAATGTCATTTCTTATTTTCTAAGCTTCAGAACACACACAGGACATGCTTTCTGAACCAGATCGGAAAACCAAGCATCAGTGTTTTTTACCTTGATTCAAATGTTTCTCCTCATCTGCTTCTTGCTTGGCCTTACTATACTTGCTCCGTCTGTTGGAATGAAAGAAAGAGCAAATCAAAATAAATATCTTACTTAGTGGTGAACTCAAGTGTCTTCTGGGCCTGCCAAGACCTGAATCACTGTGCCTGCCAAAACAAGTTCTCTGTGCTACCGTAGTTGATGACTTAAAGCAGCCCCACC